ATAAGCAATGCAAACTTAAGTTGTAATAAAATTAATATGTTAATTTATGTGTGACAAAAGAGTGTTTTGCATTAATGCCAATCATACTCATGAATGATTTTTATTTTACTTTGCATGTGTAAACAAATTCCACTTACACTTAATACAGCTTTACAATATTTATATTATATAAATATTGAAAACAGTTGTGCTGGTTATTTATTTATTTTATTTTAATGACTTTTGTAATATTATTAAAGTCTACCGTCACTTTTTTTTTTTAACAATACAAAAATACACAAGTATGAGAAGAGGCCAGGGGGGTATGAGATGTGAGGAAAAAAGCTGCTGTATCCCATTTCAAAGGATGTCCTGTCCTCCGGAGGTCGCATTGGTCAGCCGCATGAGTCATAAAGTATGATTAGGCCTATTTCAGAAAAGTAACTGTAAACCAAAATTGACCGTTCCTGGTGAAGCGTAAATTGTTGGAATTTGTTTATGAGTTTGGAATGTAGCTCTAGTGGTCAGTTAATTGAAATGAAGCTGCCTCAATGATGGATGCATGATCATGTGGCCAACAAATGCGACCTCCGTAGAACAACGCCTTCACAATGAGACAAAGGTAGTCAATGCTTTTTGCATTCTCTCACAAATGTTGTGCGTTCCTCCGAGAAACTTTGTGCTCCCTTGCAAAAAATGTTGCATTCCTGCAAAAATTTCAAGTTCTTTGTGACCGAACCTTTTGCGAGAGAATGCAATATCTTTTATGATTGTATAATTGTCAAGTGTAGTTTCATTTTCATTGACTTTAGGTTTGTCATTGTTTTCTTGTGTTCCCTTTTCCTATTCCGATCACCTAATTCTGCATCCCAATTAGTAAATCCATCCCATATAGTTATTGTGTCCCAAATCAGCATATGTTGAAATGAACGTTCCAAAGTAGTTTAAAAAGTGAAAAAGGGGTTTAAGTGATTAATAATCAATCTAACCTGACGAAAAGGTATTTTTATGCAGTCCCAGACAGCAACAGTGTCCACACATACCAGAGTTATCCACATCATATTTCATCTGCATATTCTGCAACAAATCTTGTAATTACTGTAATTTCAACATGATTTGCTGTGTTCACGCCATGTCGTAATTACTGCAATTTCGAGATGACAATACATAACGTTCTACTCTGAGCTGGAATTATGCGTTTTTATGCCAACAGTGGTCAGGTGGTACAAGTAAGAGCTCTCTAAGAGCTGTTGAAATCTGTTCAGTCAATAATTACAGTAATTACTACATGGTGTGAATTAAAAGTGAATGTGGAGGATTTTAACTGTGACCAGATGATTGACAGGGTTGTTGGTGACAGGATGCATGTAACTAAGTATGTCAAGTCACATTTATTTATAGCGTTTTTTACAATACAGATTGTTTCAAAGCAGCTTTACTGTTAACAGGAAAATAATACAAAAAAGTTTTTTTCAAGAAGAAAATAGCGTCACAATCCAGCTTCAGTTCAGTTCAGTGATGTTTCATTAAAAAAAAAAAAAGTTATTAATTTAGTTCATTTATATATAGCCACTCTGGAGTAAACCGTGATGAGTAAACCGAATGTTATTATTTTGTTGTAGTGGAGATTATGTTGTGTCTATAATAACATCATGACTGAATAAAGAAAAATTTGATTTGAAATTTGAAATTTGATGTCATCGTCCAGCTCAGTTCAGTTCTTGTATAATAGTGTCAATGCAAGCAGATGAAAATTATTGTTGAATATTAAATTAAATGTTAAATTTAATGTCCCCATAACAACAGTAGTCCAAACGCTTGCCTGCTATTCTGCTATACAGACTCTATGCTTTTACTTCACAGAAACAGTACATTTGTACATTTTATTGGAAAAAAACATATTTCCTATCCCCTGAAATTTTGAAATCTTTAAAATGTTTGCATTTATATGCATTTTGGCAGTTTATTTACACGACAACAGCAAAATGGGGGCCTGAAAATGCAAAATTTGAAAAATGTATTTCAAAGTGCAAGTTTGTCAAAACGTAAATTTGAGAAAATGGTGCCATCGTGCGCATATGTAGGACAACTCGGAAGCTATATGGGTTCCCTCGATCGAAAAGAAATGCATTTTCCCCATAGACTTTTGGAAGATATCGCAAAAAATTAGATCCGTGTTTAACAAAGAGTTGTGACCCTTACACGTTTTGTCTATCAAGATAATCTTTACAAGTTAATCCAAAATATATACATTTTGAAGCCTATTTAAAGATTTTAAAAAGCACAATCAGACACAATAAAGTTTAAAAAACCACAAGCAGGTTATAACTGTGTGTTCTATGTCATAGATCAAAACGTGAAGATATTTAGAGGCTCTGTTCACCGCAAACCTTATTTCAGGCGATTTAGCAAAAACCTATTCAAAAATCCCATAGACTTTAGAGCGAGGGAACCGGGAGTGCTAAAATGCTAACTCACTTCCGCATTTTGGCCTACAGAGTGACGTCGTAACTTCGCCACTCTATTATGTGTACCAGTCTAAGAGCGTTGTGTTTCTTTACAAAGTGACATCGCCAACTACTGGCCTGGCATGAATAATACAGCGTTTTTATTCGTTTTCGCGGATCCGTGTGAACGGGGATCGTTTTGACGACGGTGCCCTTTGTACTGCAAAAAAGACAAAGGAAAATCAATTCCGTTTTTAGTACATCATTGTCGCGTAAATGTACCCAAAGCTGTGCTCCTGTTTCTTGTTCAGTTATTGTGTGTATTTGAGCCCTCAGTTCTTTCTGTTCATTCTTCGCTGTCATCTTTACTTAAGTACAGTGCATGTTAACTTACATCAGCTCCTGAATGTTTCTATTTATTCTGTGTAAAGCGTGTTGGAATACTGCATTACACTACCCACTCAGCATCTTTAGAGCAGACCTTCAAATCTCATTCACAAGAAGCTATGTCCTGTTTTTCTGCTTAACAAAAGCTCTTCGTTTTTCGCTTGGATGACTGGCTTGTTGTAATCATTAGCAGACGTCCGAAAATCTCTCCCACATTTCCTTGTTTTTGATTTCGAGAGAAGCCTTTGAGTGTTTAATCCTAAGCCAAACAGTGACACACACTCCAGACAGAAACAAAATGCAAATGAAAATGCTCAAGTGGGTCGACCGGAAACATTCATGTCTGGAATTGTTTTCTTCAGTTCCCTTATAGTATATTATGCCATCCTGCATGGATTTTGGCTTTCTGTGGCTTTGTCCTAAACAAGATTGCAAAAACAAGGTTAGCAGCGAATCCAGTGATACTATAGAGGAACAATTTTTGGTTCCCTAAATAACTTTTCAGTGATCAGTTCTTAAAAGAACCATTTTTTTTTTCCACCATAAAGAACCTTTTGTGAATTGGTAAGTAAATGATTCATCAAAGTTTTATCAAAAGTTCTGGAACCTTTTGACCTTTTTTTTTGGAAAATATGCAGTATGGGGAAATCCAGGCTAGCTCAACCCTTACACCGTGTCCTAACTACACGCGACGCGACGCCGCGACACGCGATAAAAGGTATCTTGTCCATGTTAACCAGAGTTTTTGTCCTAACCGCGACGGCGACACACAAAGTTTCTAATTTAGAAACGGTTCCTATTTCTGCGATGTCGCGGCTGACAGAATGAAGAAATTACACTGGTTATGAGTACACATTATTTATTTTTAGTTAAAAATAGGTCACTGTGCCACAAGCGACAACGGATCATTTACCTCAGATTTTGAAAGCATGTAATATAGAGTTCAAAATGAATTCTATCCAAACCCCAGACAGCAAACTGACATTGAATCAACGTGGAAACGACGTCTCTCATGACATTGAAACAACGTTGATTTGCTCATCGAATTAACGTTGAACCAACGTCAGACGCGGCATTCTTCAAAGCTAAATGAAATCGAAAATTGGTTTGCTTTCATAACGTTTCAACAACGCGTTGATTTCAAGTTGATTTTCCGTTAGTTTTGAAAGAATGACGTGTCTGACGTTGGTTCAACGTTAATTCGATGAGCAAAACAATGTCAGATCAACGTTGTTTCGATGTCATATTTCCACGTTATTTCAATGTTTCATATTTCAATGTCAGTTTGCTATCTGGGATACGACTGTACTTCATAATAAAATTAGTCAATGAGTATATTTTGTTAATGTTTTGATTTTTAATAATGTTATTTCTTGATTTGATTATGTCCTAGACTCCTTACCCATATTCAATGCGAGTGCGGGCCAACAGTGCGCTTTCACAGAGAGACTCCGCTCACACCATATAGGCTCACACGCTCTTCTGAATGTGTGGCATCTGACAGTCGCGTCGCGTCTAGTGTGGACAGACACACTTGCTGTCACTGGAATTTTATCGCGTCGCGTGTAGTTAGGACACGGTGTTAGGCCGTGTGTCCACCAAAGCGTTTTTCCAAGCGCCTGGCGTATGTTTTCAATTCTTTTCAATGGGAGCGCCGTGTTTTTTTTTAAACGCTATGAGCGTAACGAGGCACTAAGCATTTTTCACGCTAAAGCACCGAGCACCCAGCGTTTTTTTACTGGTCGGCGAGAGTTGAAAAATGTTCAACTTTGAAGAAAACGCAGCGCTCAACACTGTCACTTTTTACCCAGCCATCCAATCACAGTGGAGGAGGGGCGGGACTAAACCACACTGACCAACTGTCACAACATTCTTTCTGTACAATGACATCAACCAGCAGAGCTAACCGAACAACATGGATGAAAAATATTTTTTTAGTATGAAAAAAATTATCTGTGAAATCAGTTACAAGTAAACTGTGCTGCGGATATTCTGTACCATTGCAACGAAACCTCTCAACGGAAAAAAACGCTACGCTGCCAAAACGCTATCAAGCGCCCAAAGCACGACGTCTTCAGCTGAGCGTCTGTCGTTTTCAGCTGGATAAAAACGATTTGGTGGACACACGGCCTTAAACCTAACATGTAAAATGTATATGGAAATGGAAAGAAATGTAAAAAAGTTGTGTATATTAACAAATGAAGCCTTTACTGTAAGATACTGCCCTATATGAACAATAACAGCATTATACTGGACTGACAACTGAAACCAAATTTTGAAACAAACTACGACTGATTTACAGGTGCTTTGTGGATTGATGTAGGCTAACTGTAGCATTATTGAGCATGCAATACTTTGACTTTTCCAGTAGTCCAGAAATAGATGTTTGTAGCAGTATGCATATCTACATATGTACAAGGCCCAAGGTGTATGAGTAATGATAACATATAATCAGAAGTATATCTTAAGTCTGTTTCCCCTGCTGTTGGAAACTTCGTCTGGTGATGTCATGTTGTGGTCTTCCTAAAGCTTAAAGGCAGTCTGTTTCACCGTTTGCTGTCTTCTCAGAGTCCGTTCGAGAATCAGTTAGAAAGCAGTGGAGAGGTGTGAGCCAAGCGATTTCCGTCTGTCAGTCTGGTCTACAAAAGATGAGAAAAGAGAAGGAAGTATATGAGCACATGTGCACTTTAGTTCTTTTTTAGAATGTTAATGATCTGAATGCTGAGAGTACGGAGTAGTTTGACAAGACGTTGAGTACAGTGTGTGTGTGTCGGTCTATCAGTTTATCATTCTTACAATAATTCATTCTATAGACTAGAGGCTTGTTTGTCGTTTATTTCATTTATTTTTTTTATTTATTTTTTTTCATTTTTTGTCAGTCAAAATATTTATCAATTAGTACCCCCTTCAATATTTACATGTAATTTAATGCTTTTTGTGTTTTAAATTATTTATATTTATTTTACATTTGAATAACTTATTTAGCCTGGTTAAAAGTTGTAAGATTTGTACTTTCAGAGCAAATCTAAATTACCTGGAAGTTGTCTGGGTTTTCCCAAGCTATAACTTATCAGCTTTTCATCAAGAACATTCACTGAACGTCCTGCAGTTCCCCAGTCTATGTCAAAATTATTTTCATTTGCTTGCAATATACAAGATGTTTTATGTCCTTCTAAGGCCATCTGACCTCTGATATCAATTGATTGTTTGCTGAAGATAATATCTGAAATTATGTACATTAAAGTAACAGTTCACTTAAAAATGAACATTCAGGCAACATCTACTGTACTCACCCTCAAGTTGTTTACCTGTAGGAATTTCTTTCTTCTGCTGAACACAAAAGAAGATATTTTGAAGAACGTTCGTAACCAGATAGTTGATGGGCGCCATTCAATATACAAACAAAAAAATACTGTGGAAGTCTATAAGGACCACCAACTGTTTGATTACCGACATTCTTCAAAATATATACATTTATTTGTTTAGCAGAAGAAAGAAATTAATACAGGAATTTAAATTATTCCTTTAGCATAACCCAAAGTTCATTACTTTCAAATACCAAACCAAGTTTAATATTCCAAGTTTCTAAGTATTGGGGGATGTTTATAGGTACTGTATTCATTTACTTTTATTGTCAATTTTGACAATGATGCAAAATCAAGCAAGGACTGAAAAATCAAATACTTACATACTTCCTCTTGGATGTCATAGTTTTCGACAACTTGTAATCTGTGAAGAGCATTATACAGTGTGTATGACAACATTAAAACATTGTACAGCAAAAATAGGTAAGATAAAACACAAAGTTACCCCCAGTCCGATGACATTCTTGTTCTGTGGAGTTGGCGTTGCAGCTTCTGTTGTGGAAACAGAATTACAGATGAAATTACATGCATGAATGATGTCACACATTCAACAAATTCTCTTTTCTATTTTTTCTTCTTACTTTTTGTTACTCTTTTTAAAACCAGTTACAGTTTAAGTGTGAGGTTCGATGTACTACTAGCCTATATGTAAACATAGCTGACCTAATGATGATGAATGTAAGATATGAGAAAAACCCTTCACAGTTTGTTTGTTCCAAGATATTTCTGGCTCCAGTTTTCATTTTTAACAAGACAGCTGACATAAATAAATATCCATTCCAAATTCATTTCACGCTAATAAGAGACCAAAGACCTAACCTACTAATATAATAAAACATTTTATTTAATGGTTGTCAATGGAGAATAATGATTTTTCTGCCAGATGGTGTAGTTACAATATCTACCAGCTGGGATTAATGGGTTTAACGGACAAGTCAGTGTGTGTATACTTAGTGTGCATGACAACATGACAAAAGATTATTAAAACATTATGATTTAAATTGAACTTTAAAGGAGAATTCCGGCGCAAAATGAACCTTTGGTCTAATAAAACTTTGGTACCTAGTCAACCGTTCTCTGAGATTTGTTTTCATGATAATCAAAGAGTTTTATCTCTAAAAAACTGTTTATAAAACTGGGGCATAAAAAGAAATCGCTAATTAAAGGGCACCTATTATGCCCCTTTTTACAAGATGCAATATTGGTCTCGGGTTTCCCCAGAATGTATTTGTGAAGTTTCAGCTCAAAATACCCCATAGATAATTTACTATAACCATTTGAAAATGTCATTTTGGGACCTGATTTAAAATGAGCTGTTTTGGGTGTATACCACCTTAAATGCAAATGAGCTGCATATCCCTGCCCTGCCTTTGGATGAGGGCGTAACATGAAACCTATGGCAGTCGTTAAGCAGAAGGGGAGAGCGAGAGACACACAGTTTTGAATGTCATTCAGCGTACGTTTGAATCGGAATATATAAATAGTACTAAGAGACTCAGGCAGAATAAACACATGAGAATGGACCAGTACGTCTCGGTAGGGTTATTTGATACATTTATGTAATTGTTATCACGTCTTTTTGCAAGTATGGATGTGCAACACACACACACACACACACACAGACACACACAAACACTAATGCTGGCGCATTTTTTTGAAACTACATACACATACTGTGTGATAAAGTTTGCTACGTACAAGCGAAATTACATTTATGCGAGGGACCTGTGGCGTCATGTTTACTTGTCATACAGGTGCTTCTGTGGCAAATGTGAGAAGATGGCTAACTTACAGAACAACAACATATATGCAGTTTTTAATACAATATCTTTAAATATATATTTATAAACGTGTGGTTACACACTATACAAACAATGTTTAAATTATATACACAGACATCCTACGACGACAACAACTTTAGACGCATAATTTGTTGTTGAATTGGCTGACAGACTGAAATGACTATTTGAAAAAATCATAAAATACACTTACTAGAGGTGACGTTGGATCGCAAACAGTAGACGACAATCCACACTTGAGGATTAATTTTTAAGCCACAACAACAGGATTTACCCACGAATCCACGAAAGAACACTTACGATTCCAAGAAACATTACCGGCTGTCGTTGAAACAATGGAGGATGGTGTGTACAGATCACCGAGGGCGGGGTCTAGGCCACAACCATACTGTCAATCAAACGCCTTTCTCACTTTCTACGTCACAAAGCGCTGAATCTCAGAACAGCTCGTTCTGAGGCAGTGCACATGATTTATTGAGATTGAAAAAAAACCACTGGGTGGATTTTTATCATTCTAGGGTGGTTTTGCTCACACACAGCCAACACACATTTATGTTCAAACACCATGTAAAAGTGAATTTTCCATAATAGGTGCCCTTTAAAACAACTAACATGGCTCAAAATAGCCTAACACTAACACAGTAATATAAGGAGGGTCTCTAAATCCAAAACAAAGCATACGTTGTAAGTGTACAGACCATTTAATAAGAAGATGTTTTATAAAGACAGTATACTTTGTGTATACAGGCGGCACTTTGGCATCTTTGGAAAACAGTAGTTTTCAACAGAGTGTGGGGCTATTTTGAGCCCTGTTAGTGGTATTGTAACAGTTATCAGCTGGAGTGCCCTTGAGAGCCACCTGAGGGCAATCCACATTAGACTATCATTGTTCACTCACAACTACATTTCCCATAATTCACTGCCCGGACTCATCATCCCTGATTATCACATTCACCTGTATCTCATTAAATTGTTTAGTTCACCCATATAAGCCTGGTTCACCTCATCATTCCCTGCGAAGTCTTGTACGTTATTCTACTGCATTTCTGAGTGTTTCCTTTCCTGTTTTCTTTGTTCCTGGTTCTTGATCTCTGCCCATGTCCTGGTTTTCCCTTTCCTGTGTATGACCTTTGCCTTGATTCTGATTGCGACTTGGATTAACCTTAATAAACTGCATTTGGATCCTTAACCATCTCGGAGCAGTTCGTACAGGTATTAACTAGCGATTTCTTTTTACTGATTATATGCCCCCATTACTAGCGTTATGTGCTAAACAGTTTTTAGAGATAAAACTCTTTACATTCGATTATCATGAAAACAAATCTCAGAGAACGGTCAATTAGGTACCAATGTTTTATTAGACCAAAGGTTCATTTTGTGCTGGAGTTCTCCTTTAAAGTAAAACTTAGTCATTAAAGTGTACTTTCTATGCATAAGTTGACCTTTTATTTCATTAACATTATCTATACAGTACAGAGTTTACATAATAATATAAAATATAAACACATAGGCCTATACACTTGGATTTGAAGTACACCACAAGAATGCATTCTACAGATTTAAGTGAACTTCTTTTTCACAAGGGATCCTATTCCAAAGTAGCCTGGTTCAACCAGACTCAAGTACATTTCGTTTGTACATAGAGTCTGGAACCGCTCCATTGAGAAACGTTTCCTTCCTTGTAGGCGGGTTCACTATTAAAGTTCAAATCTATTGGATCTGCCCAAAGTCACTCACGATCTGCCATAGCCAATCGCTAACGTGTGGTCGTGAGTGACGTATGTCACGCGCCGAAATGGCTGGAAACAACAAGTCCGAATGATCAGAGGATTATGTTTACAATTCAGTCAACGAGAGCTGCAGGTTTTGTTAATCTAGGAACAATTATTAATTCGAAATGTATATTTGACACGAAGGACAGTGATATATTCATTCAATGGTGGAAGCTGTGTCTAATCATTACAAATACGCCGCTGTGGTCGTTTTCTGATCTGCCGCACATGCTGTAGCAGCTACAGTGAATGATCAGTCTGTCTCTATCTGCAGATGTGTAATAAACTAAAATTTTTCATATTACGTCTTATTGTTTCGTAATTACCTTAATAATGGTATTCAAAGTATGTGTTTGTACATTTTTATGTGGCATTTAGTTTTTTTTTATTAAAACAAATTAACCATTGACATCTAAATCTGAAAATCAAATATCTTCAAAGTATAGGTTTTCACATTTTTATTTATGACAATTATTTTTAAAAAAAATCATAACCAATTTGTATGATTTACAACATGTAAAACTGACATACCAACCTCCTGCACGAGTGCACAAAGGCGCTCAAAATGTTCTATTCATCACAAGAATCAGTAAATTTACAATTGGGAATATGAGCGACTGACATGACTCCTGAGCGGATCTTCCTGAGCGGTCATCGTGCACGAACTGCCCAGCACAAACTTCCAAACTTTCTGCCTCCTTCACTTGGTCCTCCGTTGTGCAACAAGAGGTGAGACGATAACAATCCGGCTTTAAATTCTGTATATTCGACAGTTTCTTTTTCAACAACGGGCCGAATAGCTTTTCTCACGTCTTTCTCCGCTGCCATTACTGAACTCAAACTGACGCGCTTACATCAACGTCATCGTTCTCAGCCACTCCCTCTATTCGCTGATTGGTCCTATAAAAAATTGATTTCTGGAAACCTAAGGATACACAGCAGTCCCAGACGTAGTACTGGAGGAAAATGAAATTGAGCGGAAGTGCGTAGGAGGGCGCAGCCAGGCTAATTCCAAAGTGGGAAAAGATTGTTTATTTAGATTTGGATACAAACCTTTTAACCCACAATTCACAGTCAGACTTGAGGAGCAACTTCAGTAAGGTGATAATAGCATCATGGGGTGCTGCTTTTCATCAGAGGGAACTAGCAAATATTGCTAGAGCACCTTCTAAATAACTGACTTATGGCTGTGTCTTAAATCACATACTTTTAATATGCGAAAAACAGTATGTAAAGAAGTATGTTCAAAATCACAGTACTCATAAAAGAGTAAGGAAAATGTACCCTACTACTCCCGGCAAGATACTGAAGTGTGCATACGATGGACAGGAGAGGACTTAGTGAAGCAACGCAACTGACGCTGGTATTAGGTAAGTTACTGAAAAAAAGTAATTCATTACTATCTACTAATTACAACAGTGTTTATTGTTCATTGTGCGTTGTCCATATCAAACTTGACCAGTTGAACCATAAAAGAATAGACATGAAACTAATATTCACTGGATGGTCATATACCTTGTCATCGCTAGATGGGGGTAAAAATCAGACAGTTAAGCTTTAAACCCAACACTGGTCACATGATAATGGCAACATGGCCAATGTAGTACATCCGGATTACATTCACGATGCTTCAGATATATAGAACATATGAGTTTGTTTTTAGAGCATGCAAAGTACTTTTTCAAAATAAGTACCTATACTCAAGAGAGTATAGGACACATCCCCCCCAAATAATAACCTGGAGCAATTGATCAGAGTCTGATACACATTTACCCAAAGACACTTATTAGTTAAATTTTTGCAACAACAAAAAAAATTAAAAGAATTAAGGGCGCTGTAAATACTCAGCGTTAGACACACACACACATCATTCCAAATCAATACCAGATTGAAGAGAAGCACATTGTGCTGGCTGGAGGTCTTTCATCGTGAAAGCATCAGAACATTGCCAAGTCTTTGAAATAACTTGAAAATGTTTTTGTCACTACCTGTCTTCAAAATACTTCAACAAAAGCACCAGAACAAGTGACTTTATCCATATAAACATAAATGGAAACATAAACATAAATGGAAACATAAAAAAATTATGACAAATTGTGTACATAAAAGCCTTGGACACAAATAAAAATGCTCTTATGGCATTTATGGAGGAATGGCATACCTTTCTCTCTAGGAGGCAGTAGGCAGTGAGAAGGAAAAGAAATCCTCCACAGATGGAGACCACAATGAAGCCCAGTCTGTAAAAATCATCGCTGGAGGACCCCTGAGGAGCTTGCCTGGATAATCCCACCGCAACCTCTTTCAAAGGACAAACATGTGGCTTTAATCATTGTTGCAGGGCTGTGTGTGGGTGTGTTTGAAAAGCATCTGTCTTGCCTACAGCTTCACTAGTGTCCTGTACCTGTTTCTTTTTCATGTGGACTAATGTATGTGTGTGTGTGCAATCACCTGTGCTAGTGGTTAGCTGTGTCTCAGTAGGAGGTACATTGATGTTGTACTCTTGCTCGCAGGTCCAGTTAACATCAGTGTTAGTGGATGTGATGAGTTGCAAGTAGAGGGACAGAACCTCCTCGACTCTTTGAAGTGCCTGGACTGGAGTCTCATTGTACTGCCTCTCGAATGCTACGGGGTCTTCCTGCAGAGAGTCAGAGTGAACGAAAAAAACAACAACAGATGAATGCTGAGAGATGGGGTTCAAAGGTAATTTAACATTGTGGATCCTACAGGGATAGTTCACATTCAAATGTCAATTCTGTCATCATCTACTCAACCTCCTGTTGTTCTGAAACCACCACTTTCTCTTTTTTTTAAGAGACACAAAACTCTCAAGCTTCAAAAAGAACACACTACCATCAAAGTATCATAAATGTGGTCCATCCCTTGTGAAAAAGAAGTGTGTTTACTTTTGAATTGAATGTGCACTTGAAGTGTACTTTAAAAAATTATACTTGCCGATTATAAAATAATGAAAAAAGGCAACTTTAGTGTACTTAGAGTATTCACTTTCATTTAAAAAAAAAAAAAACACTTAAAGGAGAACTCCGGCGAACAATGAACCTTTGGTCTAATAAAACATCGGTACATAGTCAACCGTTCTCTGAGATTTGTTTTCATGATAATCGAATGTAAAGAGTTTTATCTCTAAAAACTGTTTAGCGTATAATGCTAGTAATGGGGGCATTTACTAAGTAAAAAGAAATCGCTAGTTTATACCACTAACAAGGCTCAAAGTAGCCCCACACTAACGCAGTAACATGATGAGGCTCCATACATGCAAAACGAAGCATTGAGAACTTTGTAAGTGTACAGACCGTTTAATAAGAAGATACTTTATGAAGACAGTTCACTTCGCGTATACAGACAGGAGCCATCTTAAAAAATAGTCTCGATAAGTCAAACCACGAACGTCGTGCTGAGTGATCTGAACTGTATGAAGTTCAGCGAACTTCTGAACTGTATGAACGGCGTTCGGGGATCGACTTATCGAGACTATTTTTTAAGATGGCTCCTGTCTGTATACTCGAAGTGAACTGTCTTCATAAAGTATCTTCTTATTAAACGGTTTGAGCCTTGTTAGTGGTATAAACTAGCGATTTCTTTTTACTTACTCAATGCCCCCATTACTAGCATTATACGCTAAACAGTTTTTAGAGATAAAACTCTTTACATTCGATTATCATGAAAACAAATCTCAGAGACTATGTACCGATGTTTTATTAGACCAAAGGTTCATTGTTCTCCGGAGTTCTCCTTTAATACTCTTCATGTCAAATTAAAACCATCATTTGTTCTGCTTTAAAGTACACTTTTTTTTTGATATGTTGACTACCAAATTAAACACGTGTAAAATGTTATTTCATATTACCTGTTCAAGTTCATGTTTTAAATAAACATTCACTTATTGAAATACTTGACAATACCACCCTACAAAGCAAAAAGGTCAAATTTTTCATTTTTGGTCAAACATAAGTTATCATTTTCGTGAAATTCAAGGCATCCTTTATTATGTGACAAAACATCTTATCTCAAATGTGTGTCGTTTTGAAGAAAAATGGTAGTCATTTGTACAGTAACTGCAAAAAGCCCTAGTTAAAGTCATTGTTCTCAGTTCTGCACTCTGCATAGTTAAGCTACTGCCTTTTTGCTTTTTAGGGCAAGAATAGTTTCAATATAAATTACACTGAAGTATATTTCAGCACATTCAGCAGTAAAGTTTCAAAGTCAAATATTTCAATAAATTGGAGTAATTATGAGATTACAAATAAAAATGTTGTTAAGACTTAAGTGTTTTAAAAAATCACTCTGAAGTTCTAAAGTGTCTAAAAATATTACATTCAGTTTGCACATCAGTATATATTTTTAAATATAGCCTATTAAGAAGTACTGTTTTTAAAACTATGCTAATGTGTAATTCTTTTTCATGATGGATATGACAGTAAATATCTTGGCATCCTTTTTGAAGATTGGATGTTGAAAGTGCATGGGAAAAAGCATTGCATTGTCTTCCACAAAAGCTTTTGATCAACATGGGTGGGTAAATGTCGACAGATTCTGTCGACAGATTACATTTTATCTAATATATATGTAAGCAATAAGGTACAAGAGGCTGTGCTGTATGCCTAACAGCGCCCTCAGCCATTAATTATTCACGATACAGCACTTGCCTCGAGTACCTTATTGCTTTTATAAAACGGTTGCCACACAATATTAAAGTAAAAAAAAAAACAATGTATTAGTGCAACGTTCTTGAAGTAAAATCACTAAAAGCCTTCCTTCCGCTAGAAAAAATAGTCCCTGAGCGTGAACAGCAACAGCGTTCCAATGTGTAAAATGCATGAAAGCTCAAATAAAAACAACATAGACCGATTGCGCAGCGATCAATAGAACCGTTGGGTGAAGCGGTCATAGCCGTGTTTTATCGTGAATAAAGCACAGCTCTTGACCAATCAGAATCAAGGATTCAAACGCTCAGTGTTATATATATATATATATACTATATATATATATATATATATTACAAGACAGCTCACACAAGGTAAGTCAAGTCTTAGTCAAGTCAAGAGAAGTTTTTCAAATTGTTTTTCTTCATGCCATGAGAGATTATATTTGAATGAAGAGGGAACTGAAAGAGTTTTTGCCTCATGCCACACTAGTGCATGTAGTTTCAGTTAGTAATGACATTGTCAATAAATCACTAAAATCTTATTAGAAAAATAAATCTAAAAATCTTAAAATAAAAATAGGTTGAAAGCTGGTACAGAGGCTGTAAATATGCCTTTTTCACATTACAACTATAACAAAGAGACAGCATGACGTCTTTTAAGTTTCTGTTCTTGAAACCACATTTCTCACGCACTGATGATACACGACACCAGCTGCCAGATGGAAAAAATCTCAAGTGGATTTGAAGACATTTTTTTTTTTAAATAAACGAAAATGTCTACAAATGTGACAGGGTTGTAAGTAAACCAATTAACAATGCTCAACTAGCTTTATATGCTATAAGAAGAAACAAATATACCCTCCAGACATCTTTACATTACTACTTCTAAGGGTTTTACTAGAGCTCTCACTACAAGAACATATGAGAAGTGCAGATATGATCAAAGATATGGACCAACATTTGTGCTTGAGTGATGTCTATAGATTTCATCAAAGAGTGGATCAGTTTCAGCCTTTCATATCGCAACATTATATAGAAAACACAACCAACTCCAGACTGCTACTTCTGAAATGTGACCCCTGAGCATTTCAAATCTGTTTGTGGTTTCACAAAAGACTAAACTCACATATACATAAAAACACTCTTCAAGTGCTTCTGCGATGTATGCAATTGTGCAGACCAAAATCAATCAAACCTGCCTACAAAAAGATGCTAAAAAATCAGTTAATGCAATGGGCAAAATGAACCACCAGTTAACAATACTTTTATCACAGTGTCCTTGTTACATGTTACAGTTACTGTAGTAATAACTATAAATTATGCATAATTACATGCAACTAACCCCAACCCTTACCCTATAGTAAGTACATTTACATTAAATGCATAATTACACTGGAACATACCTTAAAGTGTAACCCCACATTTTTACCATTAATTAATCTTGCTTAGTAAATGTTAATTTCTACAGCCTACCAGTGGATTTTTTAATGTTGGATTCCTGTAAAAAGTGGATGACACTTTACAAGAATATTATATACATTAACAATTGTTAATGCAATGAACAATAGCCTTATTTTAGAGTGATTAAAGGGTTGGTTTACCCAAAGATTTTGTCATTAATTACTAACCCTCATGTTGTTCCAAACCTGTAAGACCTTCATTCATCTTCGGAACCACAAATTAAGATCTTTTTTCATGAAATCCAAGAGCTTTCTGATCCCTCCATAGACAGCAATGTCATTGCAACTTTCAAGGCCCAGAAAGGTAGTAAAGACATCATAAAGTAGTCCATGTGACTCCAGTGGTTCAAATGTAATGTTATGAAGCGACAGGAATATTTTTGTGTGCAAAACCCCCCAAAATAACAACTTTATTCAACAATCTCTTCACCATCATTCTCCTACACTGTTGACTCAGTGTAAATAGTGCAGTGCTTAGGGGTTCTACATCAGAATGTCGCCTTACTATTGTCAGCATCACACACATGTGTCGTGGTGCTCATGTGACCAGCATCGGCCAATAGTGAGGTGGCATTCTGTTGGAGAAAATGGAGGCGCTGTACTGTTTACAAAACAAAAAGTGTAGGAGATCTGACACAGAAGAAAAGAAATTAATGAATAAAATTGTTTTTTTGTGCACAAAAAGTATTCTCGTTGCTTCATAGCATTACATTTAAACCACTGGAGTCACATGAACGTTGCTGTCAATGGAGGATGCTGTCAATCCGAAGATGAACGAAAGTCTCACAGGTTTGGAACGATATGAGGGTGGCGAAAATGACAGAATTTAAATTTTTTGGTGAACTAACCCTTCAATGCAACTCAGAGGTGGCATGAATGTATCTACACTGTGCAGTGAAGTTTAAGTTCTTCCCCGCAACAGACCAGGAGACTCTTGAGGTATCTTTCACGCAGACGTTCTTTATTGTGTCACTGTAGTCATCTCAAAATAAGTCTAACTAAGTTAGAATACAGAACTATTCTTATACATTTAAAAAGGGGGCAGGATTACATAAAGGAGGAGACTCTTGAAACAAAGCAAATGTAAATGATTCAACAGGCACCTCAGCTCATCAGCATAACAGTTTTCTGTGCCTTGAGATGCTAATCTGGAGGAGTTATATTGAGGAGGAGACTCTTAAAACAAAGCAAATGTAAATGAAGGAGGAACACACCCTACTCTGAGGGCATTACCAATCCAATTGACTCAGCATAACAATTCAAATGCTGATAGTGGCCAGGAACTCTGGTTGCAGAGAGCCATCCCAGAGCCATTAAAGACAAAAGGTGGAAGTCTCCCCTATAGCTAATCCAATCAACCTAAACAATTCAACATCTAGGGCCCTATTTGAACGATCTGAAACGCAAGTGTCAAAGCGCATGGCGCAAGTAACTTTGTGGGCGGGTCCCGGCGCTGTTGCTATTTTCCTGCCGGGATAAATGCCTCTTGCGCCTGGCGCAAATCTAAAAGAGGTTGGTCTGAAGTACCTTAATTATTCATAGGTGTGGTTTGGGCGTAACGTGAAATAAACCAGTCCGAGCGCCATCCAACATACCCTTTAAGAACAGGAGCGCATGACGGATTGTTATTATAACGGCGGGTTTACCAGGTGCGCGCCAGGAGCGTTCACAGCCGATGAGACCGACGTTCTTGTCAGGACAGTGAAAGACAGAGAGGTGACGTTGTATGGGTATGGGAGAAACTCTCGGACATCAGCGTCGGTTAAACATTATAGCCTATACGTATGTTTCTTGCCACTATTGGGCAAACAGGTCTGATCCTTTAGTACTACAATTAGCCTTAAAAAAATGGGTAATTCGTTTTTTTCATCTTCATGTAAACCACAATGATTTCCCTCATGTGTTAATATTTTTCCTTGTTATAATGTATGATTTGCAAAAATAAAAACTGCTGCATCTGTGTTGATGAGAGAATGCGCGCTGTGCACCCGCTACATTATGGCCAAGCATGCGCGCTTAAAATAGCATTATGAACAACGTGCAACGCACCACTGACTTTAGACCAGGTTTTTTCTGGTCAGTGGTGCAATTGTTCTGGAAGTGTAAAATAGCACCAGGGAATGTTTGCGCCGAAACACGCCTCCTTTTTGCACCGATCCGTCCAGGGAGCGCAAGTTCATTCCGTAGTTTACCGACGTGCGTCTGTGGAGGGAAAAATCCCGCTTTGCGCGCGTGCAAAATAGGAATGAGACATGCGTTTGTGTATAAAGTCATTTGCGCCGGGTGCAAGATAGGGCCCCTAGGCTGAAAGGTGAGAAAACAGGACTATCAGGAAAGGAGACTCTCGCTGGAGACTCAATAATCATCTACTAAACTTTCAGTTTTTATACCATTGGAGTGGAAACCTAAATTAAACATAATAAATTTGTAATACCACAACTGCAATTACAATTACATGCACAATATTATGAGATTGTTTTAAATATACAATTTTTAAATATTAAATTATACAAATATACTGTACATGTAACCAAGTTGGTGGCAACGCAAGTCTGTCTTAATAAGTGAGTCATTGAATCAATCATTCAACCATTTCTTTCAAAATGGTTGATTCATTTAGGAAAAAATGGATCATTGAACCATTGACTCATCTGATTCCTTAAGAAAAAATAATGTGGCTTTGCTTGGAAATATTTCATCTGAACCTAAATTGCAAGTTACTTTTTGATTTTTAGACAACAGTTCAAAATATTTCATATGAAATTTGCTACCATGCTGATATTTGAGCAACACGAGCACAACTAAGTAGCGCAATACTATATAAAAAATAGTTATTTACATGCCAATCAATGACAGACTCAAGATGCTGCCAGTTCCCTTTGTATGAAGTGAGAGTCCATGGTGTGATTTAAGAAGAGCCAGTCTCAGTTACCAGATGGGCGACTGATGTATGGTGAGTAGTAGAAAATATCAGACCTCTAAACGCAGCAATGAACCAATCAGAATAGAGCATTTCAGAGAGCTGTGTTAAATGTTAACTACATCAGAAAAATAAAGGTTCTAAAAGGTTTTTCGCAGTGATGAATTTATGTACTCTAAAGAACATTGTGATAATCCAAAGAACCTTTTACTACTATCATTAAACCTTTTGTGCAGTGGAAGGATTCCATGTGAACATTTCTGTCAATAAAGAACCTTTATTTTTAAGAGTGAAACTGAACATTATTGTAAAGTCTTACCAATACATATGGTAATATATTGGTATATATTGTTATTTCTTGACAATTATGAACTCATTTTAAAGCATTAGAACCGTCAAGACGTTTTGTCCCTGAGACCAAGATATGTGAGTGTGAGTGCAAACACCTCCAGTTCTTCATTCAGTAAAGGTATGCAGTGTTGGGAGTAGATGTTGAGAATGAGGTTCTGTATGGAGACCACTGCTTGAGCACTTCCTGAGCCCCGCACGTATTTGAAGTGGACGTTGAACAGTTCAAGCACCCTTGGCAAAGTAGCCTTCACATAACACATGACGCTCTAAAAAAACAAAGAAGGAGAATGAGTAAGAAACAGGGTGGCGAGAAGTGGAGAATAAAATCTTGCACATTAGCATGTGTACTTAAAGGATTAGTTCTCCCAAAGATGAAAATATGTCATTAATGACTCACCCTCATGTCATCCCAAGCCCGTAAGTCCTCCGTTCATCTTCGGAACACAGTTTAAGATATTTTAGATTTAGTCCTAGAGCTTTCTGTCCCTCCATTGTAAATGTATGTCCATGTGACACCAGTGGATCAGTTGGAATGTTTTGAAGCATCGACAATACATTTTGGTCCAATTCGGTTGTCAACTTTTGTCAACTGAACCGGATTGTTGTCAATCCGGTTCAGTTACGCTGATGATGTAAGACGCCGCTGACGTGTTATCAGTGCACCAGAGCTTCGCTTAAAGTCTGAGGGAGACACACACTGTAAACAAATCATTCTTCGCATACAGAGGAAGATTTGCATTTTTTTTGCACAGCCATATTTATTTGAACCCGAAAACACGGACCCACCAGATACACGTCAGCAGCGTCACTGAACCGGATCAACAACAGAACCAGAAGAGAATAAAATGCTGAATAAAGTTGTAGTTTTTGTTATTTTTGGACCAAAATGTTTTTTCGATGCTTCAAAACATTCTAACTACCCCACTGGTGTCACATGGACTACCTTGATGATGTCTTTATTTCCTTTCTGGACAAGGACAGTATATAGTACATACATTTTTAATGGAGGGACAGAAAGCTCTCGGACTAAATCTAGAATATCTCAAACTGTGTTGCAAAGATGAATGGAGGTCTTACGGGCTTGAAATGACATGAGGGTGAGTCATTAATGACATCATTTTCATTTTTGGGTGAACTAACCCTTTAACTTTGCTTTCAAAAGAGACGAGGCAGCCGGCTTTGGTTTTGCTGGAGAAATCAACATGTATGGATCATTTTCTGTAATATGGGCAGTAGCGGTTCCTGGGCGTAAATTTAGGTTGGATCTTAGCTTTTATGAGAAACATTTCGCTTTTATCAAGTTTTTATCACTGAACACATCATACACACTTTTTAGAGAATTCTAATGATGATTGACATACTTTAATGCACACGACTAACACATAGAATGCCATCTTAGAATCGCCTTAATATAGTATTTATTGCCTCTGAAGGATGTTTTAGTATGTTGCAAGTTGTGTAATTCTAACGAGGAAAACAAAGTCATGTCTATTCTCAGGACAAACATAAAACAAACACAACAGAACTACTGTGTATAAAGGCTATTCACATGACCATGCTCCGCAGAAGAGGATCAACCCCTACTTCATCATTGCAACTTTGGCCCCACCCACTGTTGTGTTAGTGAGATGATGAAGAGGAAATAGGAGCGACTGGACTAAAAATGTCATTGCCTCCCTAAGTGTCACGGTTTGTGTTTTGTGTTTTGTTCCTTGTTCTTGTCTGTCATGTGATTCCCTGTTTGCCATGTGTCTTGTCAATTGTTCCCAGGTGTTTCTTATTAGCCACGCCCCCTTATTATCTTGTTTGCCTGTGTATTTAACCCTCCTATTATCCTTGGGGTCAATTTGACCCCATCCAATGTTTAACGTCTGTAAAAACATAATTGTATTTATTTATTTATTTATTTTTTGCTTCAGATTTAATGACTTTTCCTAATTTAATGGGGACAACTCTGTAAACATAAAATTAACCTGCTAATATGTTTAATTTTTTTTTAAGTCCTGTACAGATTTTGTAGCATCGGTGTTCCTTGGGGTCAATTTGACCCCAGGCTCTTTTAGATGTATAATAAAACAGAAGAAATATTAAAATTTCACACACATTTGTTTTGGTTGTTATATTGAGGTCATTATAACATGTTATAATTTGAATTTATAATGTTCATTGTAATTTTACATATTCAATATCATATTCAAAAAACCTCTGTTTTAGGGCTCTAACCAAACAGAACCATATCTATAGTATTGCGAGAACTACTAGTAGTGCACATGACATGTGACATAATTCTCAAGAGAACTGATAATTCTTTCCTGTACATTGGGGAGGGAAAAACGTCATTTTTGTGAGAACTTTGATGTTTCCCCTGCCATGGGGGAGGGGAAAACATAATTTTTGCGAGATTGACCCCAAACATAACTCGTGCTACTATCCTTGATAAAATAAATATTTTTTTTCTTTTCAAATGTTATAGATTACAAAAATCTATTCGTAGAAATAGTAGAAAACAAATAAAACACCAGATATATTTATACTTTTCCAATTTTAGGTCAATCAGTAAGATTTTATGTTGATTTGTAAATTTGTCCATAGTCGTGCAATGGATATTCTGGATGTATAAGGGGTTACAACGCGTTCTCATCCCAAAGCGCCATATAAGACGCTTTTGCAAAAGCGTAAATATCCAACGCACATGGCACCCTTTAACGTGAAATGAGACGCAGATATATTTGGGCAGAAGGCGCCCCCTAGTGGTCTAACCCTTACCCTACACCATACCTAAACTTAACCATTAACCGAAGCGTCTCATTAGACGTTAAAGGGTGCCATGTGCGTTGGATATTTACGCTTTTGCAAAAGCGTCCTATATGGCGCTTTGGGATGAGAACGGGCTCGGGGTTAATGCTGATCATGGATTCAAGTAACTTTTTTGACATTTGGATGTAAAGTGTTTTAATTCTAAAATATATGGTGTAAAAACGTCTTAGTGCTGCCCTCTTCAGGTTGAACGGTGGCTACTGCAGTTGAATTTTCCTATTGGATGTTTGCGGTTCTTTGTGACGTACGCAGGTTTCAGCTCACCACACCCTTGCTACGAGCTAGGCAGTTTAAAAATCTTGTTTTTGTCAAAACCACTGCGAGTCAAGAGTTGGAACGATCAGGATAGAGTATTGTAGCATCTATTTAGCATAGCGTTTATATACAGTAGTTATTTTGATTATTTTGTGTAGCCTATAGTTAGTTAGTAGCATAGTAAAGTTAGTATAGCTTCAAGTTAGCGTAGATTTATCTGTGTTTAGTACAGTGGTCAGGATGGTAACGGAATAGAGGTGGACATGGGCTTCTCCACACAGCTTGCGGCAGTGCCAAACACTGCTCCTCCTGCATGGACTCCACCACCTCTGCGGCATCCTGATGTGAGTTATCATGTATATTTTAATCACAATTAATGGTTAGGCAAAAATTAATCCTCTGGAGTCAACAAACGCACCGGCAAATTCGGCAAAATATTCAATATGCCTATAGAGCGCGCGGCTATTGACATCAACTCAACAAAACTCATCAGATACCGATCGCGATGCAGGAGTGAAAACCTCAGTTTGAGCCAGCAGCTGGAACTGATATGGCCCTATGACCACAGACAATTTACCGTCCTCCACTTCAGGTGAAGGTGGGGGAGAAAAGTCCTCAACTTCAAATGACCGCTCAGTTGCAAAGCTACTTGCGTCACTCCAGTCGCTCTTCTTCATTTTAGAGTCTGACAGCACCTGCCACGGCGGGTCTCAGATGTACGCCCTTCCCAGCCATCCACCAGCCCCCGCTCAGCCCCGCCCACAGTTCTTCCTCACTATCTCCACTGGAGTCTGCCCATTTTTTCAGCATTTTTCAAATATTGCCAGTGGGTGGAGTCAGGCTCTGACCAGGGGTTTAGTTACCCTTTAAAGAGTTTTATCTCTAAAAACTGTTTAGCTTATAATGCTAATATACTGTATAGGCATTGGGGTAAGTAAAAAGAAATCGCTAGTTAATACCACTAACAAGGCTCAAAATAGCCCCACGCGAACACTGTAGCATAATTAGGGTCCCTACATGCAAAGTGTACAGACAGCTTAATGAGAAGTTACTTTATAAAGAGAATACACTTCACGTATACAGGAATGAGCCATCTTGGAAAACAGTCTCGACCAGTCGAACCACGAATGACGTGCAAAGTGACCTGAACTGTGACTTGGAATCTCATATGAAAGTATTGGACCGCTTCTTCCTTTGTAGTTAGTCACCCATATATTTTAATAAACATATGTAATTCATGCATGTCCATGTAATTAGATTTCACAAACGTAATTCCAATCGACCAGCTCACTTTCCACAGCGTTCGTGGTTCGACTGGTCAAGACTGTTTTCCAAGATGGCCCCTGCCTGTATACGTGATATATACTATCTTCATAAAGTAACTTCTTATTCAACTACCTGCATGTAATTACAGCTGTAATTGCATTTTTGTAATTACATAATTATGTATGTAATTGCAAAAATTAATTACTACTGCTGTAATTACATGCAGGTACAAAAGTAAAAGTAAAAACCTGTATGAACACAGTGAGAGCTTTGTATGAAATGATTAATTTAAATGTTACATAGTAGTTAAAGACATTTAATATAAAGTAGGTACTCAACATTTGAACATTGAACATTTAGAATCTAGCTATGTTAATACTATTATTCTATATGGACCTTAATGTGTGCAATGTGAAACTCAGTGTGCTAACAATGCTTTTATTAACTATGTTCTAAAAGTTTAATAAAAACTGTAATAAATGTATTTCTTATTATTTCTTATCATTCATGCCTGTACAGTAGAGAGTGCAGCTCAAACAAACCTTTCAAAAAGTAACTCAGATATTTTTTGTTGTGAATGTAAAAGTAATGTGTTCCTTCTTACTTGAAAATAGTTATTTGATTACGTAACTCGTATTAATTGTAAAACATTACCCTCAGCACTGATTACTTGTACCAACAGATACATCAAAGATCTACATCAAAATGCATGCTGATTCCAACCATGTCATGGATGCCACAATGGAAATCTCATCTATGAGTGATGGCACTTTGGAGTGTGCATCTAATCTAAAACACACCTCCAACTTTGCTGCTTTTCCAAGGACAGATTCGAAACGGAAGATTTTGGAATCTTGTATTATGGAAAGAGAACAAACCTGTTTTTAAACATAGTTTTAAAAGTAGAGCAAGACAATGTTTTAAAAATGCTCTTACCAGGTGTTTTCTCTCAATGAATGAATATGTGATTGAACAGCCAGTCCGCAACTGGTTACTGATCTGAAGAGTAAAACGATGTGAGACGAAAAGTTAGGAGACATTGCAAAGGTTTGAGCTGCCACATTTACAAAAAATCAAATGATGACCCCTTGAAGCTTTATTGAGATGTGAATCCTCACCAGCTGTTTTAGTTGAAGCAGGTGGTCCATGGTTATGGCATGTTTGCAAGGACCAGGGATGTCCATCATGGAGAGGGGAACACACAGCAGCATGAGAACACACACATTCTTCCCCTATAGTGATGAGCAAAGAAAACTAGTGATCAAAAGTGACAGTAAAGACATTTATAATGTTACAAAACATTCTATTTCAAATAAATGTGTTTTTTTCTATTTACCAAAGAATCCTAAAAAAAAAACCCCTACGCAACTGTTTACAACATTGATAATAATAAATGTTTCTTGAGCAGTAAATCAACATATTGATAATAATGATTTCTGAAGGATTACATGACATTGAAGACTGGAGTAATGCTGAAAATTCTTTCTTTCTTTCTTTCTTTCTTTCTTTCTTTCTTTCTTTCTTTCTTTCTTTCTTTCTTTCTTTCTTTCTTTCTTTCTTTCTGTCAGCACTGGATCCTGATGCTTTTGACATTTCTGCATCTGCTCCATTTTTTAAGTTGTTTCTTTTGAAAGTTATTTTTATTTGAGGCAGTGAATGTCATCATTTTAACAGCCAGCATACACTAAACAATAACTTGTGTTCAATCCTTATCAAGATTCATCAGCAAAAATGAATTTAACCAGTCCAGTCTTGTTTCTGCCAATTAATACAAAAAGGGAACTTATCTTAAGCTATTAAATGATTTTGACAGTAGCAATCTACACACACACACAAATTCACTCACCATGCAAACGGCTGTAAATAGAACTCAATTGTTTAATTTTAATAAAGTGTGTTTTGTCCTTTTAAAGATGTTTTAGCTGTTGAATTGAAGGTAAACTGAATCTCGATTGACAATGCAGCACAAGCAGATGTACCATTATCAGTGGATGTGGTGACGTAAATGAATGAATGTGAACATTTATACAAATGAAGCATCTTTAAGAATATGTTAGACATCCTGGAGTAAAGAAATGCATATAATACTACTGCATCCCCCCTGAATCGTTTTAACACAGTCTAAATACTTGTACTTCAGAAAATGATAACGTGTAGTAGAACAGTGCTTGTCTTTTGCATATTTAAAATCAAATCAATAAGAGAGATGTTCACTGGTTTTAGAGAGTCCACATGAGGTCCACTGAAGACCTTCAAGCCTACCTTAGTTGTGTAGAAGTGAAGGGGAGTAGGGTTGTTCATCTGGCTCATGGATCCAGCAGGAGAAGATTACAATCCTCAATTCGATGCATTTGAGCAGATCCAGGTGATTTTCTGCTGTGAAGAGTTGAAGCAGAATGACAGAAAAGCTCATAAAGGAATCAATCCACCATATAAATTAAAGCACTCTGGCGCAGACGTTGAATTTAATGCACATTCTTGTTAAGCAGGGCACAATGATTAAACAACTTGTGTCTAGTGAATTTTCTCACAGGAACTCTCTCTTTCCCTTCGCTTCACCCCCTCCTTGACTTTTTCATTAACTTCTTCTCCGCCTTTTCATGCCCACACCTCTCTCGTCCTCTCTTTTTCTTGCCTTCTCATGTTTCATAATGGCTTTATGAAAGCAAGGTTTCCTGCTCACGTGTCTTTTTAAATTGAAATGCTACTTGGCATGCCCATGTATTAAACATGACACATGACAAGCCATTTTTATTTTTTATTTCAGCCTCGCAGGATCTTCCTCTATCCTTCCCACAAACCCCCCTATGACTCACTCATCTACCTGTTTGTGGTCTGTTTTCACACCTTTTTAATTCCTTTTCTTCTTTTGGTATGCTGATGCTTAGATGTTCTCCATTTCTGGGATAGATTTGTACCTTCTGAAGCATGCTGAGAGACATCTTAACATGTCAACTGTCAAGAGCAAAAGTCATTGCTCTCAAGAGAGGGAGAAAGACGATGTTCACCACAGGTTTGGACAAGATTAAAGAACAAGGTGTCAATCACAAATTCCGGTATTTCCAGGGCCTCATGAGACAAAAGAAAAAAATGTTTTATGAATTAGTGATGTTTAATGTTGACTGCATGTATGATTTAAGAATTTATGTTCTGTCATGCTGTCGTTGCCAACACACACGATGAAGACAAAATGAGTTTTCCAAAATATAAATTCTTTATTTAACAAAACTCAGGAGATCACTTGGAGAACAATAAGTGCAACACAAACCACACAAGATGCAAATGAGAACCAACAAAGGATAATTTAAACATATATATATATATATATATATATATATTGTTTGTTTGTTTGTTTCCCCTGTTCCTCATCTAGTTTCCTCTGTTTTTATATATATATATATATATATATATATATATTAGTGCTGTCAAACGATTAAAATATTTAATCGTGATTAATCGCATTAATGTCATAGTTAAGTCGCGATTAATCGCACATTTTTATCTATTCTAAATGTCTCTTGATTTCTTTTTGTTACATTATTTTTTTCTCATTTTAATGCTCTTATCAATATGGAAAAGTGGAAAAATTATTATTGAAAATAACATTGGAATGGTGTTCAATTTCACACTAACATATAAATAATCTCTCACACAATCTAACTCTCTCTATCAATAAAAGGGTGAAAGAAATACTGACGAGGCCCTAATATTGGCGAGGGGGCGGAGAATTCGCATCATCTGTGTGTGTTTGCTTGGCCATCATCAAGTGGTGTTTCAGACTGGACGTGCTGCGATGATGATAGCTCAGTTCACAATGACAAAACACAGATCACTTGGTCATGTCAATGGGACAATGTGGCAACTTTTTAAAAGTAAACTTTCCATTCAGAATCTTAGGGCATCCATTTTGGCGTCTCGCGCTCATCATCCACTCAAAAGTAACTTTACTATTTGGCCGGCTCGCAAGCCGAAACGAGTGTGTGCGGCACAAAACGTCCTCGCGCTGCGCTCTGAAACGCATTCATTTCAATGGCTTGTGCCGCGCGAGCACGTTTTGTTGCTTCTTTGACCAAAGCGCAAGCGGATCTAGACCGGAAACAAAACAACAGGCACGCCGCAAACACACGCTTCAGCTTGCGAGCCGGCTTTGAGTGGATGACGAGACGCCGAAATGGATCAGGATGCATGCCACGTCCTGTTGCAAAAGCATGTGAAAAAGTTTGCTAGGACAAAAAGACCGTTAATCGCGCGATAAAAAATTAACGCTGTTAAAATGGGTTTGCGTTAACGCCGTTAATAACACGTTAAACTGACATCCCTAATATATATATATCAGAATCGATCCGAGGCTTAGCAGTCTGAGATGGTGGGAGTGAGGGGTGAAGGGTGTAGCTGGAGGCCCATAAGTCTGATGGAAGGGTGATGACTAACCAAGGTGGAGATGGAGGGATGAGGGAGCCCGGCAGAGCCTGAGGAATGACAAACGTCTCTGGTTACGTATGTAACCATAGTTCCCTAAAGGGAATGAGACGCTGCATGTAAACGCTGTAGGAACGCCCCTGTGTTGTGCATCATGAAGCACTTATGGAATCAGTCCAATGGAGAGACGGAACATCACAGGCGGGTGACATCATCGACCAGGAAACTATAAAGCATCCCGAAAACACAAGCGCAACAGCTTCTGACAGGCCTAAAGGAAGCGCTAACGGGCATGCTGGGAGTATGGCATAGACACGCAGTGTCTCGTTCCCTTCAGGGAACTAAGGTTACATACTGTATGTAACCAGAGACGTTCCCTATCAGGGAACTTCGACCTGCGTGTAAACGCTGTGGGAATGCAAATACCAACGCCACCATACGAGCAAGTGTCCATCGTATGAACTCAAAGTGCACATTCGACGAAAGCACCTGCGCCCCAGTAGTGGAGCTGAAGTCAAGATGATAAAATTTTACGAATGTGTGCAGTGAGGACCAACCTGCCGCATCACAACGTCTCAGATAGATACTTCTGACAAGCCATACTCCTGGTTAAATGAGCCCGGACAGCCAAAGGAGAAGGCTGACCGGCAGACTCATAGGCAAGTGAGATGGCCTCGACCACCCACTTGCTCAGCTTCTGCTTAGATGCAGTACAGCCCTTCTTAGGGGGTCCAAAAACAAATTAATAGTTGTTCAATCTTTCTCCACAGGGTAGCTCTGTGGATGTACGCATTTAGGGCCCTAACAGGGCAGAGCAGATTTAGTTTTAGTTTTTCCACATTGGTTGGGACCTTAGGAACATACCCGGGTCTAGAGAGGAGGAAAGCCTTAACCATGCCGGGTGAAAATTCCAAGCATGAGGGAGAGACCGATAGAGCTTAAATATATCCTATTCTTTTTAAAGAAGAGATAGCAAGAAGAAAGATAGTTTCTTTCTAAGAAAGATAGTGAGGAATTTCCCTGAAACTTCTTCAATATGCTTGAACGGTGCTAGAGAGAACCCTTCTAGAACAACCGCCAGGTCCCAAGTCGGCACCCTCGTGCGAACTGCTGGCCTCAGCCTCAAAATGCCACGAAGGAACAGGTTACAAGTGGGTGTCTCCCAAGAGAAGCTCCACTCAAAGGGACGTGATTAGCAGATAAGGCTGCCACGTACATCTTCAGTGTGGAGGTGGATAACCCTGTGGAGAAACACTCCTGAAGGAATTCCAGCACTGCACCCACCAGGCAGTTAACTGGGTCCAACTGGTGTTCTCCACACCAAGAAGTGAACATTTTCCACCTCAAGGTATACAATTTCCTTGTGGCCGGAGCTCTAGAGTGGAGGATGATCTCCACAACCTCAGTCGAGAGACCAGATTTTATGAGCTGGGCCCCCTCAGAGGCTAAGCCTACAACCTCAATAGATCTGGGCGGGGGTGAAGTATCGACCCGTTCGCCTGAGAGAGAAGGTCCCTCCTGATTGGAATATCCAGAGGAGAAATTAGGTCCGCAAACCAAACTCGGGCCGGCCAGCACGTGGCTACCAACAACAGACTGACCCTGTCCCGGACAACCCTCTCCATAACTCCTGGGAGCAGAGCAATCAGGGGAAATACGTACAGGGGTGACCTCGGCCACTCCTGTACCATTGCATCCAACCCCAGAGGGTCTGGAGGACTTAGGGAAAACCACAGTGGACAGTGTGATGTTTCCCTGGAAGAAAATAGGTCAACCTCGGCATGATCGAAATGTTTCCATAGGAGCTCCACCACCCAGGGGTGGAGTCTCCACTCCCCGGGCCTCGGCCCCTGCCTCGACAGGATGTCTTCCCCCTGATTTAAATACCCTGGCATATAAATCGCCCTCAATGAAAGAAACTTCCCCATAGGAGGATCTGGCAAGCCACCTTGTATAACGGGCGCGAACGCAGACCCCCCTGATGGTTTATGTAAGAGACCACCGATGTGTTGTCTGACCGGATAAGAACATGGTGACCTCTCAGGTCTGGAAGGAAGTGTTTCAGGGCCTGAAACACCGCCATAATTTCTAGACAATTTATGTGCCAATGAAGATGATGGTCTGGTCCCCTGGGCAGAGCGACCACCATGATCGCCCCCCAGCTTGTGAGTGAGGTGTCCGTCGTTAGTGTTACACAACGACACGGAGCCCCCAACACAGTTCCTAAGGACTGGAACCAAGGTTCTTTCCACATAGCCAGGGCACGGAGACACCGTCGCATGACCCTGATCTTGCGGAGCGGGTTTCCCCTCGGGGAGAACCCCTTGATCCTGAGCCACCACTGCAGTGGTCTCATGTACAGCAGGCCGCAAGGTATAACGTTGGATGCCGCTGCCATCAGACACAGAATTCTCTGATATTATTTTACAGTGAGTGACTGGCCTAGCTTTGCCTGTTCGAGCTGCATCTATACATTTCGTGAAAGTTCGGGGAGACAGTGCTAGGCCGAACGGAAGAACCCAATATTGGTACGCTTCACCCCCGAAAGCGAACTTCAGGAACTTCCTGTGTTGTGGAAGGATGGAAATGTGGAAGTATGCATCTTTTAGATCTATCGTGACAAATCAGTCCTCGGACCTGATCTGTGACACGATCCGCTTTAGAGAAAGCATTTTGAATTTGAGCTTCCCTACTAAGCGATATAACAGGCGCAGATTAGGGATGTTAACCGATGACCGTTTGACCGATGGTTGACTGTATCAACGTTAACCGATTAAAGTTGCCGGTAGTCGGTTAAAAAAAAAAAAACATTTGGCGTTTGGGTTTGCTCCTTGGCGCCGCGTTTGCGGGAGAAGGGGTGCCGCGCCACGTAGGAAAATTCCAGGTATCGCACACCGGACGCGCACTTTCTCATCAGTGTATGGCCAGCAATGTTGTTATGTTTAATGACATGAAATGAAGATAATGTCTGTTCTATGTTATGATTGTACTGTACAAATACAATCGTAAATACAATCGTTGCTGATTTTGCAGTCTGAAAACTTTAACGTTACCTCAGAGCATCCATTAACTCGAATGAATTGAGAATCTCAGCTGAAAAATCCAA